CAGCTTCGGAAGGGCAAGATTTCTTCGGGATGAGTTTCTCGAGTGGGGAGTGTGGCAGGCAATGCCCATAATGGTGTGAAAAGAAGAAAGATGGAGAATTCACTCACGTACACCCCCCCCCCCCCCCGTCACGCTCCGCCGTAGAGAGAATATTGCGTAGAGTGTGCATGATAGCTACGCAGTGATACTTTCCGTGACCCATATTTGGAATGCGTATATTGCCAACAACACTATCAAAAACCACTTTGAAAAAGTTTTAACCTAAAACACTGTTTATGAACGTATGTCATCCTGTTTTATCATTTATTTGAGCTAGCCTGAACGACAGCAAATAGAGCATAATACCAAACACGGACTATAAATTAACGTAGGAAAAAATGGTGGCATGTACACACGTAATATTAAGACGGTTTAGAACGACAATGCGGCGCCAAACAGAAATTGCTGACATTCGAAATGTTTAATTATTCCAATAACTATATCGCTGTCATCGTACAAATGTTTTCTTATTGTTAAATTACGATTTAACAGCCGAACATCCCAATGAAGTAGGTATGACTTTTAAGTAACTCATTACGACCATTGATAACTGCATCGATAGTCAGAAATTAAAATAACATCCCTGAATTGAAAATACTGGGTTTGTTAAGTTGCACTGGTCTTAAAGCATCTCTGTGTAACACCACACTTGTTTTTCTGTTCTGCCGTGTGCAGCAGAGATCATGGCCCGTTATAGGCTGTTCACGGTAAAATGAGCACTTTTGAAAGCCCTGCTTAAGATCTACTTGCATGTACGTTGTGTATTCTTCCACCTTATGTAAGATTAACATGTTCATGGGCCTCATCACTGTATTAATGCGTCGGTCAAGTGAAACTGTAAAATGACTACAAGAGTAAATATTTTACAAATCTGCAAATTTTTACACTTCGATGCATTAAAAAAAAAAAAAAAAAAAAAAAAAAAACAGAAAGTGAAAGAAACAATTTAAATGATCAGAAATGGTTACCTAACACTTTTCATTTTACGTTAAGATACGGAACTACTTCCCATTCATCGTTACCAAATTTACCGGGCTCATGTCACTCAGGGCGCCCGTTAAAATATATACAGCTATGGGCAGTGACTTTATTTTAAGGTTGACTTCATAAGTGCTCACTTTATCGTGAACAGCCTTTAGACTGATTCTCTGAGCAGCACATCGTGACTCTACTCAAAATATTACAGAAATTCTCGGCTATCTTTGAGCGCTTTCCTGGGGAAAAAAACTGTTGCAGATAGCCACGAGCGTATACGTCACGAAAATGATTTCGCTCCACGGACATGATAAACATTAGGCGCTCAAAGTGCCCAGTCCATGCGCCACTGCGATGCACTTTTGTCTTTTTAGGCCCTCGTACAATTTAAATGGCAGCAAAATCACTTAATAAAGAGGGGTACTTTTTCCACGCGAAAATATTCTGTCTACAACCGGCGTTGACTAAATCGTCGCAGAGATGTTTTGCTTTTCTATCCAGTCAGAACCGAAGACCCCAACTGTAAAACATGTATTTTTTTGCGCATAACGTTTCTTATATCATACGAGTTTTATTTAAACGTATTTTGCAGATTAAATTTAAAAAAAATGGCACCTTCATGTGCCACTTAAAAAAAAAAAAAAAAAAACGTTAGGCCCATGTCTCAAGTAATATGTAATCTCTTTTACACACACAGAAATGATTTGATTTATGACATTTCGCATTCTTACTGGCCGACATTATAATATAATCTTCCACAATACTGTACAGTTTGTCACTTTCTTATTCATGCCCTTAGATTTGTGAGAAAATAACTTTGTATTTCTTGTAGTTAAATTAATTTTTCTGTGTATTTAGTTTAACAAAAGCAGTTCTGAGTCATTTATTTTATATATCATAAATTAATTGTTTCTACGCAAGTTTAACAGAAAATACAAAAGCAAACTAAGAAAGTTGCATTTTTCTATATCACATCGTTTTTCATATGGTTGTCACAATGAATAAATGAAAACAAAAAACAGCTATTATAATATATTGTGCAATAGACTTCGACTTTGACAACTGACAGTCATCTGCGCTGCATGAAGTTGACTAATCTCACACACCTTCCACGATTGATGATGTACCATTCTTGAGTCACTACTGTTTACTGGGACAAGGAGGAGCAGTTTTCAATTGTTTGGGATGTTTCAAATGGAGCATTCTTTATTAAGACCAGCTGTAGGGGCCTATGCTTCGGATCGTTGTCATGTTACAAAATGCACGAAGATAACAGTTCTAATTTTTTTTTTTTGCGTTTTGTTCACATTATTCATTCGAACGTTATTATACACATACGTGTCCATCGTACCATCAATAAATTGAATATTCCCTACCTCTTTCACAGACAAATGCCCCCTAACTGAACCACTCGCATCTTTAACGGTGGGGAGTGTATTGGTAGCATAATTTGCCGTATAAGATTTTTCCTCTACCATGTAGACATCATCCGATCCAAAAGTTGATTTTAGTCTCATTTGGCCAGATGAAATTGTTCCGAAACTTTTGGTCCTTAGGAGCCACGGTGGCTGAGCGGTTAGCCTGCTCGCCTCCCACCAATGCGAACCGGGTTCAATCCCCAAGTGGGTCACTCCCGGATTTTCGCATGTGGGAATTGTGCCGGACGATGCCGCTAGTCGGCGGGTTTTCTCGGGGACCTCCCGTTTCCCACTCGCTATTATTCCGGCTCTCACCTTAATCATCTCATCGGCTCTCAAGACCTCGTTGTTAAGAACCCCCCCAAATCTCTTCTCTCACTCACTCTTGGTACTTAATTAGGTGCTCTTTAGCTCGGCGCAGTCTTGCAGCATGGTTCTTACAGTTTTATGTGTATTCCTTTGACTGTCTACAAATACCAAAAATATGGCTCTTCTCCTAGATCGTCGTTGTCCATAATAAATTTCCAGATGATAATCGCGTTTGAAAATCGTTTGGTAAGCTGTTAAGTTATAATAAGTATATGTATTGAGGTTTTATAAGGCTAAAGGAAAAAATAAACTCTGATATCAGGAGTGTTCATACCAAATTTGTCTGAAGTGAAGTGCTGCTTGATATTCTTGGTACCAAAACGATAAACGTAATTGGGGAAGTGTATTGAAAAAACCCAAAAATATAATTACAGAAATGTTATCTTACCTGCTTTAAAATTTTAAAACAATGCAGTTATAAGTGGAAAACCTTGTAATAAAAAAAAACCCTGAGTCACTCAAAAAATAAAAATCGTTAACCACTGAACTGAGGAAATTTCGAGAAAATCACTAACAAACTAACATGTCAATACCTCAGTGAAAAATTCGTTGCATTACCTGCATTGCCAAATCTGATTAATAAAAAAGAATAAAAATAAATTTAAACGGTCAATAATAATATGGCATTGGAGAAATTTCAGCGAATTTGTTAATTTTATTTAAATGTACTATTTCCACAAAATCTTAAGAAATATATACATACACTCAGATAACTATTAAATAACATCGTCGGCTCGTTGGTCTAGGGGTATGATTCTCGCTTTGGGTGCGAGAGGTCCCGGGTTCAAATCCCGGACGAGCCCTGGTTTCTTTTTTTATATTCCCTGATAAGGCTGCTTCCCAAAGTGAAAATAGTTGATTAAAGTACATTCGCAATTACTTTCAACATTAATGCTTAGTTTCTACTTCTAGGATATTCCTTCGCTTCATGCAAACAAATCGTAACCGAGTATAAAAAAAATTACATCAGAAGGCCAACGCACTGCATTCGTTCACACTCTGTGTAACACTATTTTACATAAGAACTATTTCCTACTACTCATTACCAACACACTTTTTTATTCATATTAATTATAAATAACATATAAATTAAAAATATAATATAAATAAAGTTTTAATTGAACTGTCATGTTTTTTTCAGTTATCATATGTATAAAACGCTTGTTATATATAACAAAATTAGGAAATAATCAAACACGTCACTAATAGGGTGATTTTTCAAAGGTCTGATTCAAAAAGTGTGAAGAAATCGCAAATAGGCTATAGGCATCTCTGAAGGCAACAGCAGTGCTCTCACCTGTACGCGAACAAATGGAATTAAAACTGTAAATAAACTTCATTGCCAATACTTATTGCAAAAAATTCAACTTAGACTAGCCAAATATTCGAAATTTAAACATGAATATATATTTTCCTTTTTTAAAAATGGATACAGTTTTGTTTATACAATCCTTCACGTTCCTCTGGCCAAAAGACCCCCATGTTAAGGGGATTATGTAGCTGCGCGTCCAAGGTCAAGAAGCGAGGTAGCGATACGGACGACATTAACAGGCACGCCTAACGCCTCATCGCTCCTACGAGCAAGGCGTGCAGCGTTTCCGTCGTAATGCTGTAATGTGCAAATTTGATCTAAAACAGTGGGTTTTATTACACGCGATGAAAGCTCTTGACGCTTAAGGAAACTGCATAGGCAAGTTTTAAAAATGCGATATTTGACCATTTTTACGATTTTTTTTCTCCACGAATACACTTGTTATGACAAAAGTACAAAAATAGGGCTATAGATAATTGTTTTTTATCTTTCCTGACAAAAAGTCATATTTTAAGAACTTTTATTTGCCGACATACGCGTTTACGAGCAAACAACGATTTCACAGAAATCGTTTCCATACATAGTCCTCTTTCCGCCCCGCCTTACTCTCCACGCTAGTGTTTCCATCGAGATAACCCTCATCAGCCGAGACCTAGAATCAAGCCGGAGACGCCTAACTATGGAATTTGATATCAGTCATTAGATACAAAGCAATATTTAATTTTACAACTTCCAGACACACAGAGTACAAAAAAGAAACCAACAGATATTTCGTTACTGCTCCATTAAAAATGAAACGTTGTAACCTGTAATTTAATCACAATGCGAAATGATGGAGTTGCAAGCGGTTGATCGACATGTTTTGATGTACATAAAAATACAAACGGCTCGTTCGGGATTTAAACCCGGGATCTCTAGCAACCTAAGCGAGAATCATACCCCTAGACCAACTTCTGAAGGTAACTATTGAAGGTAACTTAATAGACTTACTGACGGAAACATTTGCCGGGGGACATATGGAGTCAGTGACGTTTGACAGTATGCGTGTGTAGTTTTCCGTGTGACGAGCTCGAGTAATCGACCGACCTAATAGCAAATTCTTAGTGCACATGTGTGCGACGTGAGAACAGAAAATCTGCCGCGGAGGGATCGGGACGCGAACTCCCGAACCTCTGACAACAAGTCCGCCACTTTGCCTCAGAGCTACAACGAGCCAGCTCAGATATCACGCCTCTGTAACCTGAATTATATAAACCGAAGTGTAAATCTTCTAAATACACACAGTTGCGGGTGACAATCTTGCGAGATACCGTCACTTCTCTCCGGCAGTGTTGTGAGATCTGCATGAAGTACAGTTACTAGAAAACCCGCACCATGTTTTGCCGTTAGAGGCCGCTCACGATAAAGTGAGCACTTTAGAAAAGAACCTTAGAAAAAAGGTCACTGCCCCTGCATGCATATATTTTAATGGGCGCACTGAGTGACATTCGTCCAGTAAAGTTGGTAACGATAGATGAAAAATAGTTCTATATCTTAACGTTAAACAAGACGTGTTAGGTAACCATTTACGATTACTTAAAATTGTTTCTTTCCCTTTCCGCATTTTTTTATCCACAGAAGTTTTAAAAATTAGCAGATTTGTAAAGTATTTCCTTTTCTAATAATTTTACAGTTTCACTTGAACGACGCACGAATAAAGTGACGAGACCCATGGCAATGTTTATTTTTATATAAGGCGGAGGAAAACACGACGTGCATACAAGTTGATCTTAAGCAGGGCTTTCAAAAGTGCTCATTTTACCGTGAACAGCTTATACCAGAGTTTTTATCAGTTACACTTGAGGACGGAACAAAAAAATGCACGCGTTTTCACCATGGCTGCTAAAATCCAAGACTGAGATATCACTGCGTGTAAACAAATTTGACACAACTCTCTGCTTAAGATTTACTTGTAAACACATTTTGTATTCTTCCACCATTTGTGATATTAACATTACCAAGGGCCTGATCACTTTATTCAGGCGGCGCTCAAGTGAAACTGGGAAATTGTCGGAGAAGTAAATAATTTTACAACTTTACTAATAATTATAGTTAAAAGCATTAAAAAAAACGCGAACAAAATAAATCGTTTCAGTATTCATAAATGATTACCTAGCACTTTTAATTCAACGTTAAGTCACGGAACTACTTTCCCTCCATCGTTACCAACTGTACTGAGCGCATGCGTGACATTTTGGCCGTTGAAACACGTGCACTGTAAGGTCAGTGGCATTCCTCATAGGCTATTTTAAAATGTTCAATTAACCGTGAACAGATAATACTTGGCGTAATTTAATGTTTGTGTACGACATTTTACAAACCATACTACTTCCTACAGGCTATTCACGGCAAAGTGAGCACTTTTTAAGGTCCTCGCAACAGGCATTAACCACTAATAAAGGCTGTTCACGATAAAGTGAGGTTTTTGAAATCAACCTTAGAAAAAGTCACTGCCCCTACCTGCATATGTTTCAACGGGCGCGCTGAGGGGCATACGCCCCGTAAAGTTGATAAAGATGGATGGAAAGTAGTTCCACATCTTAACGTCGAATAAAAAGTGTTAGGTAACCATTTGTGACAAACAAATTATTTCTTTCGCTGTCTGTATTTTTAATGCGTCTAAGTGTAAAAATGAGCAGCTATGTAGAATATTTACTTTATGTTAACTCCACCGTTTCATTTGACCAACGCATGAATAAAGTGATGAGGCCCATGGCAATGTTATGGCGGAAAAATATCCAACGTGCATACAAGTAGATATAGACTGTTCACGGTAAAGTGAGCACTTTTTAAGGCCCCTCTCGATTTTTCCTTTCATCCAATTTCCATCTTCCTGCTGCTTTTTAATATAAAAATTGCAATGGAACCAATAAACACAGTGTATACATTCCACCACCCTCAAAATTCAATGCCTGAGGCTGCAATAATATATATTTATTAGTGGTTAATGTCTGTTGAGAGGGACTTAAAAAGTGCTCACTTTACCGTGAACGGCCTATATTAAGTATGGCTTTCAAAGTTGTCCATTTTAGCGTGAATAGCCTATAAATATATTTTATTGCAGTTTTGGACGTTAACTTTTGAGAGTAGTGAAATGTATACGCTATGTTTATTAGCAATATGGCAACGTTTACTTTAAAAAGGGACGGAAAGATAAAAATTGACTCAAAGGAAAAATTTCGCAGAGCTTTAAAAAGTGCTCAATTTATCGTGAATAGCCTATACGCAATATGCATACGTCTTCTAGACAAACTCATAAACTAATTCGGTACACCTTTGGAGATATTTACCCTAATCCAACAATTGGAGCGTTTCCGTCAGCAAGACTCGACAAGATGGTGACTGACTTGTATGGAAAGTTTTGTTTGCATAACTTTTACTTAATTTTCATTTGTACGTACTATTGGGCTGCGAATCTGGGATTTTTAGTTCAAGTCGAACTAAAATTGACTACTTGCATTTTATTTTTAAGAGGCGAAGGTTTCGATGTACTGTAAATTAAATGAAAATATCTGCTATGGGTGGCTCCCTTTCCCCTCCATATAGGCAGAATTTGAGAAAATTTATTTTTGTGCTCAACAATTATTTTAACATACCTAAACATTTACTCAGTGAGACTCGGTGTGTTTTTGTGTAAAATAAACTTCAAGAAATGTGCAAGCTCAATGAGTACTATAGATTAATCTGTTCGTGCCAAAAAGATTATTATTAAATTTTTTTAAATTTGCATGAAAAAAAAACACAGGATATGTCTACAGTAGGTGTTCTGCAATCCAAATTTACACATGTGCCCCCCCCCCCCCCTAAATATATTTTGAGTTTTTTTTTACATATCTTTTAAATTACAGAGCTGTTATATTTCAGGGAATAAATTTCTGTTACAGAGGCAATCCTAGTGGTAGGAAGCCGACCTCATTGTATTTGATGGTTCGGTCGCCGACTAGGGAGGATGTATAACCTCCTTGTCGCCGGCCGACCTACAGTACGAGGGACTCTGGGTTCAAGCTCTGTATCTACATTTTTGTTCGTCTGATCAGTGATGTATTCGTCTCCGGGTCTGGGGAAAGTGTTGCGTGCTTCTTTACTAGCTCTTAACTCCTTCCAATAAGTAGTTATTTAAAAAAATAGATTGCTAAGATTTTATCTCGAACTACGGAGCTTGAGGTTCCGATCCCCAGTGAACTGTGGATGTGTGTGCTGTTTTCAGACGTGTCTAAAATTTACCCGGTAAAAGTCGGCGACGTTATCGCGCTACTTTTCGAAATAAACAGCGCTCTGATGGCACGAACAAGGATTCATTCTGCGAAACACCATCAAAACGGACTGCACCATTCTCCTCGCCAAGTAAGACAGCCAATTTGTTTACGCAAAGCTAAACATGCCGTACGTTCATGGCTACTTTCGACTCACGACTCATAGATAGTGCGAACTAATCAATTTATTACATTGTTAGAATAAATTTTAGTAAGATAAAACTTGGACTCGAATCGACTTGGAAGATAACATGGAATAAATCTCGTCTATTTTCAGGGAAAAAATCATTTCAAAACTTTTATTGAAACGTAATCGTTTGTAGCGTGAATTTTAATAACAGAGCAAACGACATACATTATTCTAAGTTTCTTTTAAATATGACAGTTTAACATTTTATATGCATGTCTAACAGCCATCGTCTCAGTTGTCTTAGGTAGTTTTCAATTATCTCTTACCACTGTATGCTTACATGTCGTGAAACATAACGATTAAATATAACGACCGCTTTATCATGTAATTTTTAAATTCAGTCCAGTAGGGTTTTAGAAAGTAAACTATGCCTGCAGATTCTACATTCCAACCCACTTCCACGACCGATTTGGGCTATATCATTCCAGTCCTACCCCAGTTCCATCAGTGTACGTTTTGAAAAATATCCACGCTCAGTTTTTGTATATTGTTTGATTTATTTATTAAATATCGAGTGTGAATATGAATATTGTACTGAACTGTGATGACTCTTCTGATATCCACGGAATTAAAAAGAAGTTACCATATCCAGAATGAAACTGTTCTCAAAACTTTGTACGTAACAGATTGTGTACACTTGTAGACCTAAGTTGACAATGTACATTATCCGTTTGTATTTGTACGCAGGAAATCTTCTCTAGTTGTAATGTATAAATACGGCCCATATTTAATTACACCTTGTAGTGATATGCTCATTAATTTAGTATACTTACAATAAAACATTTGTGAGACATAATTGTTTGTAAAAGTACAGAATTTTGCGGATTCGAAGAAATATTTTTGTTAAACATTCACGTTTATGCATATACAAGAGCAGCGGTCGTTTATGCATATACAAGAGCAGCGGTCGTTTATGCATATACAAGAGCAGTGGTCGTTTATTCATATACAAGAGCAGCGGTCGTTTATGCATATACAAGAGCAGCGGTCGTTTATGCATATACAAGAGCAGTGGTCGTTTATGCATATACAAGAGCAGTGGTCGTTTATGCATATACAAGAGCAGCGGTCGTTTCGCAGAAAGTAATGCTGTCGGCAATACTAATATTAAGTTAATTGCCGATAACGTAGGACCAAGTAAGTGTAGTATTAATGGTATGTAAATCTGTATTAACTCCAATATTAAGGCCGATCGCTTTTTACTACCCGTGACATGACAAATTCAATTTATACGTGGTTTGATTGGATTGATTGTAACATCTGATCTTCAAATTCCTACGGACAATTCTATGACTTCACAGTCTAAGTTATACGCGTTGTTTAGTAAGTACTGGCAAAAAAAAAAAAAAAAAAAGGTTACGTTTACTAGATGTTACACACGTGCATTTTTTTGTAATTTACTATATTGTATTAAAAAGTTTCTGAAATATTTCTTGAAAATTAGTTACTAAAAGATCTTTTATAAAAATTCAAAC